AAAAGGTTCCTGTAGAGTACTACAGAAGTTTAGGGTGCTAATACCTTCCCTAAATTTAACCAACCCCCGAACCCTAGATCTTTCCCCGCATTGTGTTTATGATGCAAAAATAGGTTTTCCCTCTTTTGACCTTTTCCTTCGGATAAATCAAAGAGCGGTTGTGAATTGAATTGAGATTCAAACTCATTGATAGTTTGTGATCCTATTTCCACCGCAACATATTGCATTCAATAATATTGTTCTGGCCTTGTGATGATTTCTAAATTCTTTCTTCTGAGCATCTGTCATAGATTTTCTGTCTATTTTCTTGCCATTCCCATCAGTGGGATGAACATATCCATCTATGACCAGATCCCATAAATCAGCACCATATCCAAGGAAAAAACTTTCAATCCTGTCTTTCCAATAATCAAATTTCTCCCCATCAAACATAGGGGGTTTGGTGCTGATTTTGTCCCTTTCTTCATATTTGTTGTTAATGTTAGACATTGTATTATCAGCCATAGTAACAACCAAATATATATCAAAGTATTTCTCTCTGGATCTTTACTGTCACTGTTAAGTGGTAGCACACACAGAACCGGAGCTCTGATATCAACTGAAGGTGAGAAAATACTTAGAAGGGGAGGTTGAATAAGTATGAAGATTAAAACTTATAAATAAAAACTCAAGTATTTTTATCCTGGTTCGTTGAACTTAACTACTCCAGTCCACCCTTCCTAGAGTTATTTTCCTTTCTCAATCAAGGACTTAATCCACTATTTAATCAACTGATTACAATAGTAAGCACTTAGAACAACTGTTCAAAGTCTTCTCAAGAACTACTGATCCTAACTGGATCTTCTTAAGGTTTACAATCAAATGTAATACAAATACAAGTGTTTAAGATTTGCTTCTATAAAGCTTTATCACAACTGTGATTTTACACTTAACTATTAAGAACAAAGAAATTAATTCTTAGAAAGAATATGAATAGTATGAGAGCTTGAATGTTGATTTCTTTTTTATAAAACGTCAACTGAAGAAATTGGTGAAGTCTTGCTTTTATAGGCAGCTAATCCAAGGTGAGCTTCACGTTGAGAAGAGTGTACAAAAGGTCTGAGCCTTTTTGTCTTCACATCAAGTGACCTTTCCTAGAAGAAGAAAGCACAGAAAAATCCTTTTTGTCTGTGTTCTTGTGTCTAGCATAAATAAGGAAAGAGTCGTTTGGATCATTCCAACGGATATAATTTTTGAATAATTCTTCTTCAGTTTTCAGCAAATTCATCAGAGTCTAAATTGATCAGAGCCTTCTGATGATGATCAGAGTTTTGCTGAATCAGAGTCTTCTGCAGCAGGTGTGCTTTTAGCGTGTTTAAGATCAGAGCATATTTGAGACAGATCTTCAGTACTGGCAGCTTTAGTACTTTCAGAATCTTCTGTAGTAACTATGCTTTGAAAACTCTTCATACAGAATTCTTCTTTGGTTCAGATGCTTCTGACTTGCTTCAGATTCTTCTGGAGCTTCTGCTTCAGAATCTTCTGGAGGCTACGCTCAGGATCTTCTGTTGGCAGCAATCAGAATCTTCTAATGGATGCATCTGGCGCTTCAGAGTCTAGCTAATTTCTTATGTTCAATTCAAATTTGCTTCTGGAGTGTTAATTCCTTTACTATCTGCAGTAAAAACTCTCAAGCAAATTTTAGAGTATATAATTCTTAATTATAAAATTTCATAATAGTTATCATCAAAACATAGAGATATTATTAAGAACCAATCTTTGTTCTAACACACCTTACCAATTAAGTGAGGTTTTGTCTAGATTTAGAATTCGTGAAACTCCTGTTTCTATTATGGATTTAAATAGAGAAATAAATCTCTTAAAAAATGATATAGCTCAAATTAAAAAAGAAAACTATGGTTTATCTCAAAGAGTCACTTTTTTAGAGTCCAATAATTCAAGGGTTGAAGAAATAGCTTCAACTAGTAATCCTTCACCTAGTGATGATTTCCTTTCCCTCATTGATAGAGTGACCTCCCAAAAATGGTTTGTTAGAATAACTTTAGTGATTAATAGAAATTTCATATTAGAAAATGAAGTTGCCCTTATTGATAGTGGCGCTGATTTAAACTGCCTTCAAGAGGGAATTATTCCCACTAAGTATTTTGATAAAACTACTCAACCTCTTACACAAGCTGGAGGAGATAAACTCACGGTTAATTATAAACTGTCTAATGCTTATGTTTGTAACAAAGATATTTGTTTACCCACTCACTTTATTCTTGTGAAAAACTTAACTCATAGAATTATATTAGGAACTCCCTTTCTGCATAAAATTATGCCTCTAATTAATGTTGATCAAAAGGGAATTACCTCCATTATTAATAATAAAAGAATTACTTTTGAATTTATTACTGATCCTCATACTAGGATGATTAATGAAGTTAAAGATATTCTTCTTTAAAAAGAAAAACAAATTTGTTTTCTTAAAGAAGAAGTGGGTTTATTAAACATCACTTCTCAACTTAAAAATCCTGAAATTCAAAATCAAATTAAATTAATTGATCAACAGTTTAGAGAAGAAATATGCAATGATTTACCTAATGCCTTTTGGGATAGAAAGAAACATGTTATTTCCTTACCTTATCTTGATGACTTTAATGAAAGTCAGATTCCCACTAAAGCTAGGCCTGCTCAAATGAATCATGAGTATTTGGATTTATGCAAAAAAGAGATAGAATCTCTTTTGGAGAAAAAATTAATAAGAAAATCCAAATCTCCTTGGAGTTGCACAGCCTTTTATGTCAATAATGTTGCAGAAAAGGAACGTGGAGTTCCTAGACTTGTTATAAATTACAAACCACTTAATAAAGTGTTAAAATGGATTAGATATCCTATTCCTAATAAAAAAAGATCTTTTAGATAGATTAAACAATGCTTTAATCTTCTCCAAATTTGATATGAAATCTGGTTATTGGCAAATTCAGATTAATGAATCTGATAAGTATAAAACAACCTTTACCGTACCTTTTGGACATTATGAATGGAATGTCCTTCCTTTTGGTCTTAAAAATGCTCCTTCTGAATTTCAAAATATTATGAATGATATTTTTAATCCTTATACGGAATTTATAATTGTTTATATTGATGATGTTTTAGTTTTTTCAAAAACTATAGATCAACATATTAAACATTTGAAAATATTCAAAGGATTAATTAAGCATAATGGATTAGTAATATTTGGTCCTAAGATGAAACTTTTTCAAATAAGGGTTAGATTTTTAGTACATGAAATTGACCAAGGAACTATAATTCCTATACAAAGAAGTATTGAATTTGCTTCTAAATTCCCTGATATTATTACAGATAAGAAACAATTACAAAGGTTTCTTGGTAGCCTCAATTACATAGTAGATTATTATGAAAATCTTGCTAAAGATACGGCAATATTACATGCTAGGCTTAAAAAGAATCCTGGCCCTTGGACTGAAAAACATTCTCAGGCAGTCCAAAGAATTAAAAATAAGGTGAAATGTTTGCCTTGTTTATCTCTTGCTAATCCTAAGTATTTCAAAATTGTTGAAACTGATGCTTCAGACTTAGGCTATGGAGGAATCCTTAAACAAATAATACCTGACACATCAAAGGAAGTTTTGGTTAGATTTACTTCTGGAAAATGGAATCCAACACAAGCAAAATATTCAACTATCAAGAAAGAGATGCTTTATATTATAAAATGCATTTCAAAATTTCAAGATGATCTTCTTAATAAAATTTTTTTTTTAAAAATTGATTGTAGCTCAGCTAAATCAATTATTGAAAAAGATGTTAAAAATCTTGTTGCTAAGCAAATTTTTGCTAGTTGGCAATCGCAATTATCTATGTTTGAATTTGATATCCAACACATTAAAGGTGAAAATAATTCACTTGCTGATTATTTAACTCGAGAATTTTTGCAGGGAAAAAATGATGACCCCGTATAGGGGTTGAGGCCGCGGTTATGGCCGTGGTGGGAGAGGGAGTAACAATATGTTACCCTAGCCAGAATCAAACATTCCTCTAATAGGGGATTGGACTACTGTCTACAAAGGTAGAAAATGCAGCAATTACCTGCATCTTCAGCAAAAAAGGAAGATATTGCTTCCTCTTCCTCTAATAAAACTACTTCCTACAAGGAAGTTGCGGTTAATAGCCCGCCTCAAGAATAAATGGATTATTTTGAAAATCCAGTAACTGGGAAAATCATGTATATTGATGATGAAGATATGAAGATAAACCCAAATGATGGGTGGTCTATCAAAACTAGATACCTCGAATCAAGAGGATATTCAGGTCTTCATGGAAAATCTAGGCCTAACCTAGAAATTCTCCTGACTGTTACCGAATCGGTAACAATTACTCACCATTACCAAAACAATAATCCTGAAAGTTTTATAAACTTCAGTAAATGTCACGTTAACAAAATTTTGTTACCAAGAGAATGGGGTCTCAACCCAAATGGGGAAAAGGCAATAAGAATTGCAGAAGGAAAGTATATTTACTTTAATTATTGGGACTATGTCCAAGCTTTTACTCAAGCTTTTTATTACCAAAATCCCAAGAACAAGCATTCTTGGTTTTTCTCTATCAATCAAGATTTGGTTAATAAACCTATACCAAATTGGTTTTATGAATGGTGGGCTAAATTTGGTCCATCTTTGGAGATTCTTCCTAAAGAAATTCTTAACTTATACAATCCATGGTGTGATAATAGTCCACTTATTGTAAAAATTTTATCTGATAATTTGATCACTAGACAATGTCCATTTTTGTTCTTTACTAAATTTCAGATTCCATGGATATGGAGGTGGTCAATCACCATATCAAAAAATAAACTCAAGATTCCCATTTTAGAAAGAAATTTCTTCTATAAATGGTGGAACAAGATGAGTTCAGAGGATGTCCAGAATAAAATAAAATTGATTGAAGAAGCTATAGCTGAAGACTAGAATAATAAGGTCAAGGAGCAAAGTTCCAAACAAATGTCTATGGAAAACTTGAAGAACTTCTTCCAGAGGAAATATCCCAATGAAACAGAAGATGAAATCATGGTTAGGATTTTGGATCATATGAAGAACCAATTCTTCTCTACTTTTCCAACAAAAGCATCAAAAGATGAAGATTCATCTATGAAGACAAGCTCTTCCATGGGATCAATGGATTCCCATAATTTTGATGGTTTAGCAGGAGTAGGTCAAGCAGATGAACCTACTGTAGAAGATTTCTGGGATGCAATGATTTCATCCATGAAAGATATAAGAAAAGCAAAGAATTAAATTGTTATCTTGTCTAAAAACAATGAAATAAGAATCAATGGACAAAGGCTAGAGGACAAGAAATAATAGAAGAAGAATTTTGACAAAAGTAAAAGACAAGAGAATCTTATCTTGTCTAGGCATAATTGCATGCATTTTCTTTCTTTTGTAAAAGACAAGGGAATAAGAATCTTATCTTGTCTTTAGAATATCTAGGCATGCATTTTCTATGTTTTAAAGTTTGTAGTTTCTTGTTAATTGTTGTGACGATGGGGCCCAAAGAGTACCCGGCAATAATTATACAAGTTACCGGCTATTGTAAGTTTTAGTTACCGGCTTAAATAGTAAGCCTTTTCTTCCCTATATAAAGGGATTTAAGTTTCATTTATAAGGACACCTTTCAATAACACCTTGGAACACCTTTGAATAAAAAACTTTAAAGTTTTGTTATAACATTATCTCTACCATTCACTTTCTATACTTCTCTTTTATATAAACTATTCCGATCTTGCTTCCGCATCTGATACCAAAATGTGTATTTAGCGGAAGCAGGATCAGAATTTTAGTAAAGAAAAGAGGAGTATAGAAGATTGTGAGACAATATTGCAAGAAAGTTCAAACTTGTTATTCAAAGGTGTTCCAAGGTGTTTGTAACACAAGAATTTCTTCTTGCTTTTTATTTATGAAATAATTAACAAACCATTTAACAAAAGGAACGAAATCTTGCTCAAGGTTCATTTGAGTGTAATACTCATCTTTAAATTGGGCTAATTCAGGTTTTGAAAATTTTTAGAAAAACCAATTTCTAAATTGAGAGTATCTCTCATGTTGAAACTCATCATTGATGAGTTGTCTCATCTTACTACCAGGGGAGTAATCTATCATCATAAATGAAAATCCATATCTGACTGAGTAGGTGATTCTACTCTTGGAGTATGAGGTTTTTGATAAATTCCATGGGGAATTCTATTTTCTCTTAGTCTTATATTTTCAACGGCCTCTATTTCTTCTCTTATTTGAGAAGTAGAAGGTCTAGGTAATTGGCTAGGAGCTGTGTAAAATTCACTAACTGAGTGCCTAGCAGATAGAGATCTGGGTATTCTAGTTATTCTTTTTGAAGTGAAGTTTATTTCCAATTCTCCTTCAGTAGTCTGAATAATTTGGTCTATATCCCTATTAAGGATAGGTTCAGGATCTATTTCTTGGGGGAGAGACCATGTTTCTGGGAAGTTTATTTCATCCCATTTTATTAACCTATTGGTTGCAACATTGGATGTTAATAAATTTGTTTGAACCAAAGTAGTCGTTCCAGGAAATGATAAATGATTTGCTTTAGGATTAAGCGTAGTAAGAACCTTATAGTAGATTCTATAGCATATTGCTATTATTTCACTTCCAGGTTTAAAATTGTAACCATTAGTATGAACTGTTAATTGCATAGCATCAAACAAATTTTTATCAGATAAAGATAAATTTAAATTAGGTGAGACATCAAAGTAAACTGGTCCATGACACAGACTTGTCTCAACCATAGCAGCTAATAATTGTTTGAAATCTTTACATCTACCATCTCTAACATAGGCCATTATGCTAGAATTTAAACCTAATAATGTTAAAGGTTTTAAAGCAATTTGAACCAATCCAATATGGATAAAATTATAATTTTTAAAAGGTTTCAAATCTTTTTTAGTTAACAGTCATATTGTCTGAGTTTCTTTAGAAATTTGAATTGTTTGCTCTAAAGTTTTAACCGCAAAACGAGAAAAAACATCTATCTTACCAAATCTATAAATTTGATTAGAAGGAACTGAGGGTATAACCCATCTGTTGAGTTTATCCATATTTTTTGGATATTCAATTAATTCTTCATTTTTTATTAAATTATTTTGATGATTATCATCATCAGAATCCATAAAGCAGCAGGCTAAGAATGTTGTGATTGGTTGATACGCAAAGTTAAATCTAAATAGATAACTTGGACTCATAACATAATGTTAACAGAAACAACAACCAATTAAAAGTCATCTAAGCAAACAACAAATTGTTTAACTATCAACCCGAAGGGATAGAAGGATTTCTCCCAAATCAAAGATGTCAAAATATTTTTAGCAAAAATTTTCTTTTTTGAAATCATCAACAACTCCCTTCCCTGGGATAAAAAAGATGAATATGAAAGAAAACACTAAAAACACTTTTTAGTTTTAAAAACACTTTGAAAAGGTTGTTTGCTTGTTAATAAAATGTTATGAGAAAAAGTTACCTACTTAGTTTTGTCTAAGCATAATCAACCTCTCACAACATAAATTTAGCCACTAACTCTCATAATAAATTATGCAAAGAAGAAATATACCTCAGATTTGGTAAGTCCAGGTGATGATACCAAAGTGTAGTTTTATCAAAATATTTAGTGGGAATTATTCCTTCTTGAAGGCAGTTTAAATCAGCTCCACTATCAATAAGGGCAACTTCATTTTCTAATATGAAATTTCTATTAATAACTAATGTTATTCTAGTTATTCTTTTTGAAGTGAAATTTATTTCTAAATCTCCTTCAGTAGTCTGAATAATTTGGTCTATATCCCTATTAAGGATAGGTTCAGGATCTATTTCCTGGGGGAGAGACCATGTCTCTGGGAAGTTTATTTCATCCCACTTTATTAACCTATTGGTTGCAACATTGGATGTTAATAAATTTGTTTGAACCAAAGTAGTGGTTCCAGGAAATGATAAATGCTTTGCTTTAGGATTAAGCGTAGTAAGAACCTTATAGTAGATTCTATAGCATATTGCTATAATTTCACTTCCCGGTTTAAAATTATAACCATTAGTATGAACTGTTAATTGCATAGCATCTAATAAATTTTTATCAGATAAAGATAGATTTAAATTAGGTGAGACATCAAAGTAAACTGGTCCATGACACAGACTTGTCTCAACCATAGCAGCTAAAGATTGTTTGAAATCTTTACATCTACCATATCTAACATAAGCCATTATGCTAGAATTTAAACCCAATAATGTTAAAGGTTTTAAAGCAATTTGAACCAATTCAATATGGATAAAATTATAATTTTTAAAAGGTTTCAAATCTTTTTTAGTTAACAGTTTATTGTCTGAGTTTCTTTAGAAATTTGAATCGTTTGCTCTAAAATTTTAACAGCAAAACGAGAAAAAACATCTATCTTACCAAATCTATAAATTTGATTAGAAGGAACTGAGGGTATAACCCATCTGTTGAGTTTATCCATATTTTTTGGATATTCAATTAATTCTTCATTTTTTATTAAATTATTTTGATGATTATCATCATCAGAATCCATAGGGCAATAGGCTAAGAATGTTGTGATTGGTTGATACGCAAAGTTAAATCTAAATAGATAACTTGGACTCATAACATAATTTTAGCTAAAACAACAACCAATTAAAAGTCATCTAAGCAAACAACAAATTGTTTAACTATCAACCCGAAGGGATAGAAGGATTTCTCCCAAATCAAAGATGTCAAAATGTTTTTAGCAAAAATTTTCTTTTTTGAAATCATCAACCACTCCCTTCCCCGGGAAAAAAAAGATGAATGTTTAAGAAAACACTAAAAACACTTTTTAGTTTTAAAAATACTTTGAAAAGGTTGTTTGCTATCTGAGGTATATTTCTTCTTTATTATGAAAATTAGTGGCTAAATTTATTTTGTGAGAGGTTGATTATGCTTAGACAAAACTAAGTAGGTAACTTTTTCTCGTAACATGTTATTAACAAGCAAACAACCTTTTCAAAGTGTTTTTAAAACTAAAAAGTGTTTTTAGTGTTTTCTTTCATATTCATCTTTTTTATCCCAGGGAAGGGAGTTGTTGATGATTTCAAAAAAGAAAATTTTTGCTAAAAATATTTTGACATCTTTGATTTGGGAGAAATCCTTATATCCCTTCGGGTTGATAGTTAAACAATTTGTTGTTTGCTTATATGACTTTTAATTGGTTGTTGTTTCTGTTTACATTATGTTATGAGTCCAAGTTATCTATTTAGATTTAACTTTGCGTATCAACCAATCACAAAATTCTTAGTCTGTTTCCTTTATGGATTCTAATGATGATAATCATCAAAATAATTTAATAAAAAATGAAGAATTAATTGAATATCCAAAAAATAAGGATAAACTCAATAGATGGGTTATACCCTCAGTTCCTTCTAATCAAATTTATAGATTTGGTAAGATAGATGTTTTTTCTTGTTTTGCTGTTAAAACTTTAGAGCAAACGATTCAAATTTCTAAAGAAACTCAGACAATAAAACTGTTAACTAAAAAAGATTTGAAACCTTTTAAAAATTATAATTTTATCCATATTTGACTGGTTCAAATTGCTTTAAAACCTTTAACATTATTAGGGTTAAATGCTAGCATAATGGCTTATGTTAGAGATGGTAGATGAAAAGATTTTAAACAATCTTTAGCTGCTATGGTTGAGACATGTCTGTGTCACGGACCAGTTTACTTTGATGTCTCATCTAATTTAAATCTATCTTTATTTGATAAAAATTTATTAGATGCTATGCAATTAACAGTTCATTCTAATGGTTACAATTTTAAACCTGGAAGTGAAATCATAGCAATATGCTATAGAATCTACTATAAGGTTCTTACTACGCTTAATCCTAAAGCAAAGCATTTATCATTTCCTGGAACGACTACTTTGGTTCAAACAAATTTATTAACATCCAATGTTGCAACCAATAGGTTAATAAAGAGGGATGAAATAAACTTCCCGGAGACATGGTCTCTCCCCCAGGAAATAGATCCTGAACCTATCCTTAATAGGGATATAGACCAAATTATTCAGACTACTGAAGGAGATTTGGAAATAAACTTCACTTCAAAAAGAATAACTAGAATACCCAGATCTCTATCTGCTAGGCACTCAGTTAGTGAATTTTACACAACTCCTAGCCAATTACCTAGACCTTCTACTTCTCAAATAAGAGAAGAAATAGAGGCCGTTGAAAATATAAGACTAAGCGAAAATAGA